TTGCATCTGACTGAGGTCACGTTCCGACGCACTATGGTCTGACACACGGAACAGACAGTGCGGGGGACTAGGAGCTGCTGGGTAGCCCTCGCACGGGAGGAGGATGAGGAGCTGGTTGTGGGTGGGGATGGGGGTGGAGGTTGGGGGGAATCATGCTGCGGGGAGCTCCGTAAGACCGTGGAGGTCTGCAGATTACCCAGAGTGGGTATGTGTGCTGAAGGCACTGCCGTGGAGGCTGAGGGGGCGGTTGGACGCTGGCAGCATGGGGCCACATAACTTGTGGTCCATTCCCTGTGGGTCTTAAGGCCTGAGCAGGTCTTAAGATGACTCCAGCCATTGCACTGGGTGCATCTAACCGAGGTGGATGAATGGTGGAGTCTTCTTCGACACACGCAGCAGAAGTAATCTGTCGGTCCAGGGTTGGTTTCTACACCAGCCCTGATCAGAAGGATTTGGAGCAACCCAGCTGCGAGGTGTTAGGTCGCCGTAAGGGTGACAGCCCTTGGCCGGACAAAATTTCAGTCAACTCAGGTGTGCAGAACCGGTAATCAAGGAAGTAGCGTTACACTGGCTGTAACAGTAAAAACTGCATGGTAAGTGGAGGTCTTACTTCACCCGCCGTTTGAAGAATGCAAAAAGAAAGGAGGGCCACAGGTTCAGGTCTTTCGAAGAAATAGAAGAACGGATTAACGATTGGATCGAGAACACAAAGAGCTCATTTTTTAGAAATGGTATTATAAAGACGAGAACAAGTATCCGGACAAGGCTTTGAATGATATGTGTTTACTTTTAATAAAAAATTCTTTCTTGAACACAAAAAAATACCGAAATAATTTGTACTCTTGAAATATTTTTGTATGAATTTGGTATTTAGAACATGTCCATTTCGTCTTCGAAAACACGATAGAATTAAAATGAATAGAATAGAATATAGAATGTAAAAATGTCCAGTTATATGTATTTTCAACTACTTCCACTAAAAAGTAGAGTGCACGTCATGCCTGAATATCAATTTTTGCAAATACATGTTTATACATCAGTGTACATACCTGGGTTTATGGGCTTGATAACTCCATACGGTTGAAAGTTCGGTAAAGTTAATGGAATTGATGGACGTAAACGAGGAAACAATAAATTTTGTGCCGTAGGAGGTATAAGTCCTGGTCCTGGCGGAAAAGGGCAAAGCTTGAGTAAATCAGGCATTTTAACAAGCCCAGCCGCGGGCAAAAATTTACTAGAAGGCAAAATGGGTATTAAGTTGGAATCCGGCTGTTGCAGAAGGGACCCCTGAGAAGATGATCGCTTCTTGGACGTTGATGACTTATAAGATGAAGATTTTGTTATATGTGATTTTGTAATATCAATATCTGTTTCTATTGGTTCTTGATTAAGCGTTCCCAATGATTCTAAAACAGTGTCCATGCGCATTAGTTTTTTGTTTATAGTGTTAACTTCTTCCTTCGAGGGACCTTCTGCATCAGTTTTGAACAGGTTTGATTCAGTCGACATATTCAAGGTCAGGCTTTTCGATTTCGTTTTTTTTCGTTCTTTTCGATTATATTTTGCTGCAAGATCCGATGTACCTACATATTCTCCATGGGATATATTCGGAATAAGATTATTTGATGCAATACCAGTATTCATTTTATCTGACACCAAATTTGCGTTTTCAAATAAAAGGGGATAGGAATAGTCGTATTTAAAATTTTTAAATTTTTTTACTTTCGGCGAATGTGCTATATCGGTGATGTTTTTAGGTGTTACCATTGCTGGTTTCGGCAAATTCTTGCTTCCCGGCTTGCGGCCGCGTTTTTTAGGTTTATTCAGTCCTTCAACATGCGAACTTGTATTACTTAAAACGTTAGGCTTAATATCCCCCGGAGAAGAACTGTTCGACAAGTCCAATGAGCCTCTAAAATCACAATTTAACAACGCATTCAATGAGTTTTCAGTTAGTTCAGTGCTAACTAAACTTCCTTCAGCAAATATCAGGCGTTTCGAAGTTGTTGGAGCTGGCGTGATAGTAGTTCCACAAGGCAAACTAATTAGATGACCATTATTATTAGTTATATGATTTATATTTGGAGATTTTTGTGTTTTTGGTTTAGAGATTTTTTTGAAAATATTTAATTTGTTTCTATCAAGCTCTGCCGATAATTTGGCACCTGGTAAGGATCTTTTATCATAAGATAGGGTTACTATTGCTGGCATTTGTGTGTTACCAATGCCCACTTCATTAATATTTCTGGAGTCATCATTTGAAATATTGTCTTGCATTATTGACTGCGGTGCAGGACTTGGTTGTGGACTTAGCGAAAAATGTGTGGTCAAGCATGTTTGTGCCCCTTCGTGCGAAACACGAACGGGAATACTATCCTCCATAAACGGTACATCTGTTGGTAATTGCGGATCAGATATTGGTAAAGATAATTCATTTTGAGATATCGTAGTTAAACTTGTATTCGAGTTGTTTTTCGTCTGGTTGCTATTTTTTTGTCTATGCAATAATTTCTTTTGGTATTTTGATTGCTTTTTTATGAACTTTTCTATTTTCAGTCGCTGAAGGACAGTATTAGAATAGTCGGAGGACATTGCCGACGGGTCTATTTCCGTTTTAAACATCTTTTGCACGTTCTTTTTACTTTTACGTTGAGTTTTTTCCGTTGCCGCTGCTCTATATGAAACGAATGTAGCTTCGGCATTATATTGCTCCGGTCCATTAGGATTGCTTGTTAAAGAATTTTGAAAGTTCAGCACATTTTTCTTCTTAGCTTTCTTTAGCAACTTTGAAGCAAGCGTGGGCACTTGCATAACATGTTGAGTTATATGACTTTGCACTGACTTCTTGGGAACAATTGAGTTCACTATATCAGACACTGCAGCGCTTCTATTTGTTAAACACTCCTTGGAGTGTGATCCCAAACAAATGCTTCGCCTGTCACCTTCCAGTAGCTGAGTTCTAATTGTAGACATTTTATCAGACTGCGATGAACAGCCAATAACAGTATCATTGCCGTGCTGTTTACGGTCTTTAGCACGGTTCATTTCACCAATTGGTGTTGGAGGAGGTGAGAGGGCTGGGGGGGAATCCAATCCCAGAAGTTTTTCTACAAATATTTATGTCAGAAAAAAAAAAAATATCAATAATATAATAGTTTTACCAACAAATTTTGGTATTAAAGTATCTGCAACTTTGCCCTCAATGGCAGGCGATATAAATCCTCCAGTCGTCATAACAACACTGCTTATTTCTCTGGTTGGCCGTCCTTCATCGTCAAGAATAAGAGTGCAACTAGCCGGAGTTTTTAAGCAAACCGTGGAGAGTTCAGAGCCGGACATAGACTCCAACAATCGCTTATTTGAAACCATAGGAGCACCCACAGAATTTCCACATGTAATCTGGTATCGTTCTAAGCTTTTAGGTACCTAGAATTTAACACATATTATCAAATGACTTTTTAATTAATATCAGTACTTACTTGGATAGTCAAACTATTCGAAATCAATTTATAGGTCGAAGAATTAGATTGTAGCATAGGGGGAAGATATTCATATATATGCACTGGGCGTATAAGTACCTCCTTACTTCCAGGCTTTAAAAAATTAAGATTTGTATTCTTATGTGCAGGAAACTTTGGTAAATCAATTGCTAATTGCACTGGTTCAACATTATACATATAATCCAATAATTCATTGATATTAATATCCAAGTTCCTTAATGTAATAAACGTGTCATCCATATTTGCTTCTGTTCGATTATCTAAATAGCAGACACAATTCAAATATATGAAAAAGTTCTCTTTTTATAGATATAATATTTCAAAACTTACAATGTTCAACCTGCCGCTTTAAGTCCCGCGCAAACTCTTTAAGAAATTTATGTAATATATCTTGCAGTAACTCAAGGGGAGTTCCTTGAATAACATGATAGCCAATTGTAAGACAAACTTGTGCCACCGCCAGCCGCAAAACATCACGCATATATCGATCCGACATTATACTAGACTTAAAAAACTTTCAGACATTCGTTAAAAAACATTCAATTCCTCAAAAACCGCCAAGCTTGTTAATATTTATAAATTAATCAAAGTCATTAACCATTAAATTACTAAAAACAAACAGCACAACCACAAAAATTTTACCAAAGTAGTAATTTATTTATCGATAAAGGGCTACTCGATAGCAGCAGCTTTCGCTTGCTTAAAACCTAACACGGCATTTCTACGACTGCCCAAATACGTGTTTAGCTCTCTTGATTACGAATCCGAAATAACCCCATTCACCCCATCCGCAGTTTGAGATTCGGTTTCGCTTATTTGTTCCATTTGAAAATGTATGGAAAATGAAAGATTTTAGTAGAAGTTAACCAAATCTTTAATTGAATCGGTAATATTATGTCAGTTTCTTTAATAACATCTATTTTTTTCTTAAATAAAAATTTTACTGCGGTTTCAAATCAAATAGTGTTAGTGTCTTCTGTTTCGATTTGTCAGCTGGTTTCGATAAAACTTCGATTTGGTTGTAGTTCGCATGGCAATTGAGAAGAAATTACACACTTTTACCACAATTCGCTCACGAAAATTTGTATTGTGAATTAATTCGGCATGTACTTCCAGTGCGAGGTACGACTGAGAGAGGGCAAAATCGATCCTGGCCAAAAGATAGCTGTTCTTCTTTGTGACATCGTATAATATTCGACTTGCAGATGGCTCGACAACACCGCTTTCACTCTTATTTGGCCGACAGCGTTACTTTTACCACAATCTCCATTAATTTTTACCCACACAACTGCTTCTGACATTGGTGGAATCAGCTCGGTGCCTTCTAAGATCACTTGCTTGCTGCTGTGCACGGAATTATAGCCAATGCTTAGTGGTAACCCCATGTTCTTATATTCCATAATGTTGTTATTCAAGTCGATTTTGATACCTTGATCCATCAAAAAGTCCACTCCTATGATTACCTCACGATAAAGCTGACGATAAAGCAGTGTAGCACCGTCATATTACCTACTGTGATCTCACACGTTACTTCCCCCACCACTTGGCTATCTTCACCACTCGCCGTTTTCAATATTGCTCCAGTTAATGGTCTCACTTTTTTAGCGATCAGATCAGTTCGAATGTTGGAGTGCGATGGGCCAGTATCCTCTGTAAATATTCGCTCTCGTCATCGATATATCCACCAATAGACATGTTGCTCGGTTTTCTGCCAACTTGCGATACGGAGATTACGGGGCATTCAATTGCAGGAGCCAGCTTACGCCTCTTTAGACTGGCTCGTTTTAGTTTAACGATTGAGAAGTTGATGGTTCATATTCCTCCACCTTCCGTTTTCGCTGTACCTCCTGTCTGCTGGAAAGTGCTTTGCATTCGCGTGCGAAGTGACCATGCTAACCACATTTAAAGCATTTTCCCGCTTGAGCCTTGAAACTAGAACGATTCATCCATTCTTGCGATTTTAGAGTTCTTAATATATCCGTCATCACATCTGGTGTTCGAACCTCCAGTTTATTGACTTTGTATGCCGCTTATGAATGCCGCCGTTTCACGTGTTTGTGCATACGCAACAGTTGCAGCGAATGTCAACTTTGGATTTACATATGTCTCTCGCTTGGTGTACACGTTGTTGTTTTTGTGGCGGTTCCCTAACCCCGCTTAGGCACAGGCCTGATCAGTCTAAGTCGCCGAGGTCATCTAACGGTAGGCTCCCGGCGGTAGCATTCCAATAGAAACTGCTTGAACAGCAAAGCATTATGCTCCTTAACTCGTAGCATAGATGCTTCGCGGTGCAAGTGATGCTCTGGCGACATCAGGAGGTTTCCTGTCGCAATCCTGAGGGCGGTGTTCTGGCAAGCCGGTAGCTTCTTCATCTTCAGCTCGTTCCTCTCGGCGCCCAGATCGGTGCAGTATAGTTTACGACCGGCCGACCAATTGCTTGCAAAGTTTCTTTGTCTTTACTCCAGATGCTGCCGGCTAGCGCTTTGAGTATTTTGTTGCGGCTCTGGAGTTTCGCGGCAATTGAGGTCGTATGCGGAGTGAAGGAGTGCAGGCTGTCTGGTGTTACTCCCAACGGTTCAGTAAGGCCTCAATTGTCTTCGCTACGGGGGAGATTAGAGTTATCGGCCGATAGGACTCTCCTTTTATGGCTGGTTTCCCCCGGTTTGAGTGGCGGGACCACCCTACCCATTTTCTGCACATCGGGTATCTTTAAGGTGGCCAGAGACAAATTAAGGACCATCGTGATAAATTCTGCTCCCGCTGGNATACAACTCGAGTATTCTACACTTTCGTCTACGAGCAGCCGACTGCTATATAAGGGTGACGCTCAGCTGCCAAGTCAGGTCAGTTACGAAGTGAACTCGTTGGCGTTAACATCAGTTAAGTCGTAAAGTAAACGTGTTAGAAATTACATTTAAGTAAAGTAGATTGTGAAATTTTATACAAGTGATTATAACTAGAAAGTGCATTGTAATTGAATTGTGAATTACTGAGTAAATAAAGGATATAAGATAAATTTTTTATAACGAAAGAAATTGCAAATTAAGTTGGCGAGTTTTTATTTAACAATCCAGAGATCGTACCCGAAGGATTCAGAAAACTATCTAAGTTGATTTAGAAAAATCGTAACAATACTGTTGGGAAAATGCGAGGAGAATGTCAGATGAAAAAGAGAAGCCGATACGACTAGTACATTCTAGCACAATAGAATGAGAACCTTCGATTGCGAACAACTCGATTATTCTACACTTTCGTCTACGAGCACCCGACAGCTATATAAGGGTGACACTCCGCTGCGTAATTATGTCAGTTACAAAGTGAATTCGTTTGTGGCAACATAGAGTATAGCGGAATAAATTATTTGAGTCGTAATGTAAACGCGTTGGAAATTACATTTAAGTAAAAAAATTTTGCAAGTTTATCCAAGTGATTATAACTAGTAAAGTGCATTGTATTTGAATTGTGAATTACTGAGTAAATAAAGGACATTACATAAAATCTTTGTAACGAAAGAAACTGCAAATTAAGTTGGCGAGTTTTATTTAACAATCCAGAGATCGAACCCGAAGGTTTCAGAAAATCATCGAGGTTGATTTAGCAAAATCGTAACAAGACATAGAAATGAATTCATACATCCTTGGACAAAAGTATTAGGCACCCCATTAAAATACAAGTATTCTCCAAAGTGGCTATCAAAGTTAACACTTCTTTTGGTGAAGGACTTACATAGGTGTTTATCTGTTGATTAAACGAATAAATTTTGTAATATTAAAAGTCCTAGCACTCTGGGCAAGCTAAACCTAAAACTTGTCATATTTAAGAGATTCATAAAATATTTTCGGATTTGAAATATGAAAAAAAAGAGTGTAAATTAGCAATGCATCACAAAGTTTATCAAATCAAAAACATGTTGTGTTTTGCACTTTCATGAATGACTGTTAGCTCTATAGAGAAGCTCCAAATAAAATAATTGTGCCGCGGTCTTGGGTACTTGGCGTTTGTCGCTATAAACTGGCGATAAGGATCATATCTGTAATGAACATTGTTACTTCAACAGGATTGAAAAAAAATTTACTTTCACCATTTGATCGGTGGTAGAATGGTATTCATGAAGAATGAAATAGGCTTCTTCGCAATCGATAGCTCCTCCAGCAAATAACGACGTAATGGGAAATCTAACCTTGATGAACACAATAGTTTACTGACGACAGACTTGTTAGCAAGTTGCAAAGAATCGGAAGTCTGCTAAAACCTTTAAGCATTTTAATGGTGTAAAAACTGAAAGAATCTTTAAAAGCTATATTACTACCGGTTTCTCTGTAGATAATGTTGTTATTTTCTGCCTTTGAGTTGGCTATCAAGAAACTCAGTTGCATTCAAGTGGAAGCTATCTACAACTTCCGGAAGCAAACTTCTACGCAATGATGAAGGGTCCAATACCTCCTCATCTTGGAATAAAACGTATGGCAAATGCTCAAAAGCTATCTTGTTTATAATTTTATTTTGATTTTTATATAACTTAAGCAATTTCCCGATTTACTTTACTTTATTTCAACCTTAAAGAAATAAATTTTTGTCGATATCGCTAACAACTTAAAAATATTTGTCGCTTAGTTAGCGATTTTTCGAGTAGTTTACGACAACATCGAGAGCGAACATCGTTAAAAAAGGTACACCGAATATTAA